GCGCATCAATATATGCGGTGCAACCTATGTTGTACAATCTACGTGGTGCAATTCACTTGCCGAACTTGAAGTTGTCAACTCCACTGCTCGCGCAATCATCCCACCCACCCACCCGCAACTTGGTTTGCAAAACCCATGCGGGACCGAGCACAGATATTCGCTCTGGGGTCGTCTTGGAGCCCTCGGGGGCGTCTCAAGAGCGCCCCAAGAAGGCCGGAGAAGCAAGACGGCCGACGACGACGACGACGACGACGACGACGACGACGACGACGGCGGCGACGACGACGACGCCGACGTCGACGACGACGAAGACGACGGCGCCGACGCCGACGACGACGACGAAGACGACGACGACGACGTCGCTAACCAAGACGACGACGAGGGAGGAGGGAGGACGACGATGGCGACAACGACGACAACGACGACAACGACGCCAACGAGGGAGGAGGGAGGACGGCGAAGACGCGAATGACGAAGAAGGAGGAAGGACGGCGACACCGACGACGACAACGACGAGGGAGGAGGGAAAACGACGACGAGACGACGACGACAACGACGACGACGACGGCGACGAAATAGGAGGGACGACGACGAGACGCCGACGACGGACGACGACGACGACGAGGGAGGAGGAGGAAGGACGACCACGGCGACAACGACGACGGAAACGACCACGACGCCAAAGAGGACGACGACGACGACGAACACGAGGAAAGACACAGGACGACGTAGGCGACTACGACGACGCGGGAGGAGGGAGGACGGCGACGACGACGACGACGACGACGAAGACGCCGCAAGAGCGCGCGCGCACGCTTCTGTTGAAAATCCGTGTTGCGAAACCTTGTGTTTTGGTAGGTTTGTTGGACGCGCGATTTTGAAATCCTTCCGAAACTGATGGGTTTTGAAGGATTTCGGCGTACGCGCGCGACGGCGCGCGCGTTCGCATTTCGTCCCATTTTGTTGCAGAGGATTCTCGCGACGGCACACGCGCAAGGGCGTTCGACAGATTTCGACATGCGCGCGCGACGTCCGTTTAATAGCATGTTGTGAAAATCTTGAAAAACCCATGGTTTTCTTAAGATTTCGCAAGAGCTCGCGCGTAAGCTTTTTTAGCAAATCAGTGTTACGAAACCCTGTGTGTTTGTATGTTTTTTGGAAACTCGATTGCGAAATCCTTCCGGCGCCGAAGGTTTTTGAAGGATTTCGGCATGCGCGCGCGACGACGCGCGCGTGTGCACTTCGTCCCATTTGTTGCAAGGGATTCGTGAAAAAGTGTTATGTTAGAACCAAAAATGTCACCGCATAGTGTTTTTTACCAGGGAACCTCAGGGGGGGGGAACCAGGTTGGCCTGCGACATTATGATTTCAGATTCAGGATGGACATGTGGTCAAAATCATGTGTGATTCACATACCCGAAAGGGGGGGCGATAACGCCGGGGGGGGGGGGGGAAATTAAGATTTCGCAAGAGCTCGCGCGTAAGCTTTTTTAGCCAATCAGTGTTGCGAAACCCTGTGCTTTTGCATTTTTTGGGGAAGCTCGATTGCGAAATCCTTCCGGCGCCGAAGGTTTTTGAAGGATTTCGGCATGCGCGCGCGACGACGCGCGCGTCTGCACTTCGTCTCATCTGTTGCAAGGGATTCGAGAAAAAGTCTTATGTTAGAACAAAAGATGTCCCCGTGTACGTTTTTTTTTACCAGGGAACCTCAGGGGGCCGATCCCGGCCCCTCGGGGATAGTGTAAATTCATATTTAAAATGGACATGTGGTCATAATCATACATGATTCACATACCCGAAAGGGGGGCGGATAACGCCAGGGGGGGGGGGGTAGAGTCTATTCTGTTTTAGAAAAGAGAATCTAGGCGGTGACAGGGCGGCGACGAGGCGGCGACGGGGCGGCGACGGGGCGGCAACATAGCCGCCACAGCGGCAGACAGGCCCAGACGACGGGCGGCAACGAAGCGGCGACGGGGCGGCGACGGCGGCGACATAGCCGCCACAGCGGCAGACAGGCCCAGACGACGGGCGGCGACGAGGCGGCGACGGGGCGGCGACGGCGGCAACATAGCCGCCAGAGTTGCAGACAGGCCCAGTTCCTTAGAGCAGAAGCAGGAACCCCTAAGTGCAAGCACCGTATAAGTAAAATACGCGGAGGGGGCGGGATACCTCCCGCGCGTGGTCAGGGGAGAGAGGCAAAGAATATGCATACTGTGTAATTGTTAAAGGGAGTGGGAGGAGAGAGGGAAGGGCGGAGGGCGGAGGGAGGGTGGGTGGGGGGCAGGGAAGATGAGGGCAGAGTGTGGAGCGGAGGGAGGAGGGAGGGAGCAGGGAGCAAGGGGAGGGAAGGAACGAGGGCTGGGAGGATGGGGAGGAGAGAGGAGGAAACGGGGGCGACGAGAAGGACGAAGGATGGGGGCCAAGGAGGGAGGGAACCCGAGGCGCCTCCCAGCACGGGTGCAGAGCTCAAGTGAGCACAGGGGCCTCTCGCGCCTAGGCCTGCCACGCTCGGCTGGAGTGCCAGCACCGACGAGCGGCAGCGCAGCAGCGGCGCAACGCGCTGGAGAGCTTGGCGGTTTCGCGGCGGGGCCTCTTCATCCTCCTCCTCCTCCTCCTCCTCCTCCTCCTCCTCCTCGTCATTCGCGCTCCCCTCCACCACCACCTCCTCCTCATCATCATCAATCATCATCATCAGCAGCATCATCATCGTCATCAGCATCGGCATCACCAACACCATCACCATCACATGTATCATGATTACTGCCACCGTCACAATTAGCAACATCGTCATCATCATCACCACCAGAACCACCATCCTCATCATCATAATCATCATCATAAGCACCATCATCATCAGCATCAGCATCATTATCCTGATCCCCAATCGTCATCATCATCAGCATCATCATCATCAGCAGCATCATCAGTCTCACTACCATCGTCGTCATCGTCATCGTCATCATCATCACCACCACCACCGCCATCATCATTAGCATCAGCATCATCAGCATCATTATCATCCTCATCATCAGCATAATCGTCAGCAGCATCATCACCATCATCAGCATCATCGTCATCATCGTCATTAGCATCGTCGTCAACAGCATCACCATCGTCATGATCAGCATCAACATCAACAACATCGTCATCGCTACCGTCCTTAACGCCATCGTCGTCTTCACCGTCATCATCATAATCAGAAGCAGCAGCAACCTCAGCGTCAGCATCATTACCATCATCAGCAGCAGCAGCCGCATCATCCGCATCACCGAATAACTATTATGCTCACAAACAACGTATCTTCATCGGCATCGCCGTCGTCATCAACGTCGTCTTCGGCATAAATATCAGCAGTATAATAATCGTCGTAAACGTTGACGTAATCGTCATCATCACCACCCCGCAGCATCCTCCACGATGGCAGCGTCATCATCACCAGCATCATCGTCATCGTTTTTACTTTTCACCAGAAACAGTCGTTACAATATTGTTAGTCAGACCATATGCATAATTTCTCTCGCAATTATCAACCTTATCACAATCATTGCCACCGCCGTACCCGTAGTCATCATCATCATCATCATCATCATCATCATCATCACCATCAGCATCAGCATCAGCATCAGCATCATCTGCATCATCGCCATGGCCATCGTCATCCTCGGTGTGGGAATCGTGAGCGTCGCAGCCTCCATCATTATCATCATCATCAGCGTCATGATCATCATCGCCATCATCGTCATCGTCATCGTCATAGTCGTCACATGTGGCATCGAAATGATTGCCCTCATCGCCATCAGCGACATCATCATCATCATCATCATCATCATCATCATCATCATCATCATCATCATCATCATCATCATCAATCACGTCAAAATCGCCATCATCACAAGCGTCAGTATCATTCGTCACCATCCTCGTCATCAGCATCGTCATCAGCAGCATCAGCATCAGCACCATCAGCATCAGCATCATCATCGTGTGATCCCCTCCTCCAGGCGGGGGGGCAGGGCCTCAGACGGCGCGGCACGGCAAGGCCTCCGCAGCCTTCCCCCGCAGGGCGCTCGCGAGCAGAACGCCCGCGCGCGCGCCGCGCGCGCGCAGCATGGCCTCCGCCTCCGGGCCTGCCCCCCGACGCGGACGCAGACGTGGAAGAGCGCGGGGAACTGGACGGATGAGGTTTCCGGCAGGTTTTCGCTTAGCTTCTGGAGCGTTTCTGAAAAGTCGCCGGACCTTTCTCAGAGAGGTGTTCGGGACTCGGGATGGTTCCCCTCAGCTGCGTCTCGTCACGGGCGTTCCGAGGATGCCGGGATCGTCCCGAGCAGCCGCCTGGGGCCCGAGTTATCGCCCGAAAACAACAGGAGAAGGGCGAGTCGAGACAACGGCGGCCCGTACTTGCGTTTGTTCCTCGTTCTGGGGCCTCCTGGATGCCTCTCTTCGCCGCCGCTGGATCCGCCTCGAAAAGCCGGCCAGACTGGACCATGGGAGGAGCCAAGGACCGATGTTGGACGGACTCGAGCCTGGCAGGACAGCCGCCGTTGTCTGAGCTAGCCCAGGAGGGAGACGCCGAGCCCGAGCACTGTATGCTGCTGCGATGGCCAAAGAAGACAGCGCAGTGACTGCTCCGAGGGCTCGAGCGCAGGTGGTCGCTCCGCACGGGAGGACAGCGAAAGAATCGGTCCGAAGAGAGGCCTTCAACATTATATCCAGGAGCCGGCATGAGAGATAAGTGGCCGCTCCGCCGGACACTCCTGGCCCAAGTCCGAAAGCATCGGGCTCAGAACATTGTAACACTATATTGCAGCGAGGAACGAAACAAGCAGCACAGAGCTTCTTAGCACTGCTCGCTGCTGCGCCATGGCGGCGCCCACATGCGGGCGGCGCGAGGGGGGCGGCCTTCAGAGAAGGCGGAGGAGCCTTCTGGGACAGCCCTGGAGGCTTCTAAGCAGGCTTCTAGGAAGCCGGGTGGGTTTCCGACAAGACCCCCTGCCTTTTTTAGGTGTCTCGCAGCCTTCTTGGAAGCCCATCCCCCTCGCGCTACCACCCCGTGGGCGCCGTGCAGGCGCGTGGAAGCCAGCCTCATCCCCGACGGGCACCCAGCATCCAGGCGCGCCGGAGAGCTCAGAGCCGGCTCAAGGTCAATCTCCCAGATCGCAGGTCCTCGGAGGAAGGCCTCAAGAAAACGGAATTCACATTTTCAACTCATCAGATTCATCGTTCGGTACAGGTTGGTGGTGGTCGTCATCATCGTGGTCATCATCATCATCAACATCATCATCATCATCATCATCAGCAGCAGCAGCAGCAACATCATCACCATCACCATCAACCATATCAACATTAACATCCTCGTCCTCGTCATCATCACAACCATCAGCATCAATATCAGCATCATCACATCATCATCACGGTCACCATCAGCATCATGATCATCATGATCATCATCATCATCATCATCATCATCATCATCATCATCATCATCGTCACCGCCACCGCTATCGTCATCAGCATCGTCGCTATCATCCGAAATGTCGTCACCGACCTCGTCATCACACTCATCATTATCGTCAACATCGGCATCATCATCGTCAGCGTCAGTGTGATCGTCGTCGTCATCGAACACTCCGCTTCATTACCATCACGCCATCAAACAATATGCAGCAGTACAATCACCAGCACCATCATCATCATGCGCATCATCAGCAGTATCATCATCATCACCACCAGTCTAGACAGTGTCATCATTATCAGCAGCATCACATTCGGCATACTCATCAGCATCATCATCATCACGACCACCATACCATCAGCATCATGATGATGATGATGATAATCATCATGATCATGAGCCGCATCGTCATTAGTAGCATCGTCATCACCTCCATTAAGATCCTCATAGCCGTAATGACCAGCATCATGGGCATCAGCATACAAACTCAACATCGGAGCCTTCACATCATCAATATCACCACCAGCATCATCATTCGCATCATCAGCATCGTCATCATCATCGTCATCACCATCATCATCGTCGTCATCATCACCCCCGTCAGCATAAGCATCATCATCACCACCATCATCAACAACAACATCGCTGCCGTCGTCATCAGCATCATCATCACCAAATCTTCAGACTCATCATCACGCGTTCATGTTCGTATTCACAATGATTGTCATCGGTACCACCATCATCATCCACAACATCATTATCAACATCATCACCATCATCGTCAACAGCAGCATCACTATCATCGTCGTCATCGTAGTCGTCATCATACTCAGCATCATCATCATCCTCGTCATCGCCATCCAGGTCATCAACATCATCAGCAACATACCCATCGTCATCGGCATCGTCGGCATCATCACGATCATCTCCAGCAACATCAGCATCCTCCCCCACTTCGTCCTCATCATCATCCTTCTCCCCCCTACCACCACCCCCTCCTCTCTCTCTCTCTCTCTTTCTCACCGCACCCTCGAGGGCGAGTGCCTGGACTGCGGCCAACAAGCCTCCCCGCGGCTGGCGCGAGCCGGTTCGGGGTCCAGCGCAGCCTCATCAACAGGACGGTGGAAGGCTTCAAGAACCAGTCCGCACAAAGCGGACCAGGATCAGAGATCAAGGATCGAGATGGCTGGACGCCTGGGGCCCCCGCTCGGCCTCCGGGGGGGTCCAGGAGAGGGCGCAGCCGGGTGCAGCTCGGACCTTTGGGCGTTCCGAAGAGGGCGGCGATACACGGGTGGGTGAGAAAAAGGTGCACCCTCGACGATCGGCCCTCGAATCTCGACTCTCGGCACTCGTCGTTGCCGTCGTCGTCGTCGCCGCCGTCCAGGTGCGCCTTCGGAGCCTCAAGGGGGGGCCGGTCGGGGCCCCTTCAGGGCCCCCGTTCGCCTGCAGCCCTCGACCGGCTCCCCCCCCTTACACAAAGCCCCCGGGAAAAGGGGGCGGCCGGGAGGGGTCCTGAAATCCGACGGTGCCAAAAACTGCAGCCACATCGCAAAACATCGAGGCACGGCCTCCGGCATCTTCCTGCGTCATCTTTCGAGCCGGATCGATATCTGTGAGGGTCCCGGGGCCCGAAGCGGAGCGAACACGCCCGGCTCGAAACAGTGGAGCTGCCAGGATCTCAGGGCGTGTCGCCGGAAAGGGGGGGCCAGGAGGGGATCCAGGAGGGGTCCTTGGACCCGCCTGGAGCACATGCTGGGTCGGAATCGGGGTAATGGGGGGCGGCTTCGAACAAGTCAGGAGGCTTCTCGGAGGCCATCTTGCCGTCCACGAATGCTTCGCAGAAGCCTCCGATGCCGTCTGAGAAGCCCGTATGCGCGCCGCCAAGATCCAGGAGGCATTGACACGTGGCTTCGGGAGGTGTGAGAACAGCTTCCAAATGTTTCGGGGGTGTTGGGAAGTTCGAGGAGTGGAAATGCTACGTCTTCGGAGGCTCGAGGTGGGTGGGAAGGAAAGGCTTTATTAGGTCTGGGAGGTATGGAACGGATTGATTTGGGGGAGGTACGAGCCAACTTAGGGTCAGCATCCTTGGAGGCAAATGTTTCAGGAGGGGTAGAGTTTTGGATGCCTGGGAAGGTTTGGCAAGTCCGCTCGAAGTAAGAATATCGTCAGTGTTGGCGGAGGGGAGGCTCGAAGCTCGTCCAGTCAAGGAGGGAGGTTTCAGGCGGGGGGGACAACGAGTTGGGAAGAACAATGAATAATGCTTGCTATTTTCCGCAAGGGAGGAGGCACAGAAAGAATGATAATCAGGAGGAGGGGGGGACAGACGGGGAGGGGGGGGGGGAGAAGGACGAAGGCGGAAGAGAAGGCAGCGGAGAAGGGGGACAATGAGGTCCTTGGAGGCAAAACTGACTGCGTCGTGTGGATGAAGGCTCTCCAGGTGGCGGACCTCGATGCTGAAGTCCTGGGGAGGAGAAGGAAGGAAGAAGGAGGAGGAGGAGGAGGAGGCGAAGGAAAGAGGAGCAGGTGGTGGTGGATTAGTTGGAAGACAGGGAGCAGAAGGAGAGGAACCAGACATCAAAGAAGCACGGGGAGCCAGGAGGTCAAAAGGTCAAGCTGGGAGAAAAAGCAGGAAGAGGTAAGATGGAGGGAACGTGGAGGGAGGATGAAGAGGAGGAGGAGGAGGAGCAGGAGAAGCAGCAGAAGCAGCAGGAGGGACAGCGGGAGCCTTAGGGGACTGAGAGAGTCCAGTGAAGTTAAGGTCGGCGGCGCTAAGGATCCGAAGCGATTGTTGATCGGAGGGTTCAGGAGGTGTCGAAGACTCTGGGGGGGAAGGGGGGGTGGGGAGAGGAGGGAGGAGAACAAGGGGGAGCAAGAGGAGGACCAGCAAGATTAAGAAACGAGGACGAGGACGAGGAGGGGGAGGATGCCCAGGCCGAGGATGAGAAGAAGAGAAGAGGATAGAAAGGGAGAAGGAGGAGGAGGTCGAGGAGGAGGAGAAGGAGGAGGAGGACGAGGAGGAGAAGGGGGGAGGAGGAGGAGGAGGAGGAGGAGGAGGAGGAGGAGGAGGAGGAGGAGGAGGAGGAGGAGGACGAGGAGGAGGAGGAGAGGAGGAGGAAGAGGAGGAGGAGGAGGTGGAGGAGGAGGAGAAAAGGAGGAGGAAGAGGAGGAGGAGGAGGAGGAAAAGGAGGAGGAGGAGGAGGAGGAGGAGGAGGGAGGAAGAGAAGAGAAGGAGGATAAGGAGATGGAGGAGCAGGAGGAGGAGGGTGGAGAGAAGGAAGGAGAGATGAGTAGCAGAAGGAAGAGTGCGAAGGATGAAAAAGAGGAGAGGGAAGAAGCGAGTTTAGAGGAAGGGATCGAGGAAGGAGGAGGTAGGATGGGACGAACGAGGGAGACTGGGAGGGAGGGAGGGACGGGACGGGACGGGACGGGAGGGAGGGAGGCAGGGAGGGAGGGATGAACGAAGAAAGGAGGTGAAACTGGACGAGAGGGGAGGAGGAGGAGGAGGAGGAGGAGGAGGAGGAGGAGGAGGAGGAGGAAGAGGAGGGAGGAGGAGGAGGAGAATGAGGAGGAGGAGGACGACGACGCCGACGACGAGGCCGACGAGGGAGAAGAGAGGAGGGGGAGGATGGAGAAAGGGAGGAAGAGGAAGCAGGACGAGAGCGAGGACGAGGAGGACGCCGCGGCCGAGGAGGAGGAGGAGGAGGAGGAGGAGGAGGAGGAGGAGGGAGGAGGAGCAGCAGCATCACCAGCAGCAGCAGGGAGGAGAAGGGAGCAGTAGAGAGCAGCGGGGGCAGCAAGGTCCAACACCCCGCTGGCGCCCTCGAAGGCCTGCTTCAGGCGCCTGCCAGAGTCCTCGCAGAACATGTTGTTCTGCCCGTTCAGGAGGGCAAACTCCTGCTCGTCCTGGCGCCGCACGCTCCCAGATCCTCCAGATCCTCGGCGATCTGACTGAATCGACTCTGACGCTAGCGCACGCGGATGCACTCTGAAGCCGAAGTATCGATAGCGTACAAAGCTCCCATGAGTTGCTACGGAAACCAAGGTGGCACCTGCTTTCGCAGGAGGGAGGGAGGGGAGGAGAGGGGGGGAGGCAAGCTAGGTGCGCTCGCGTCATATCTGACATCCTACCCCTCCCTCCCATCCCTTATCATGGCGTAGATCCTCTCTCTACTCGCACAGTCGGATGTCGAGCAGGGCAATGATCCCGAAAGGGTACGCGATGCATTGTAGAGCAGGGCATGGCATGGCGTAGAAGAGCACCGCAAAGCGTAGTATGTCACAGCAGGGCGTGGCGTGGCGTAGTGAAGAATTGCATCACAAAGCTTTGCAACGCAAAGCATGGCATCGCACAGCGGCCCCGAACATAACATTGCATAGCATGGCGTTGAAGATCAAAGCGTAGCATGGCATAGCACGACGTGGCACTTAAGCACTGCATATCACAGCTTCAGCTGAAGGCATGGCATCGCGCAGCGGAACGCAACCTAGCATTGCATTGCATGCCGTGGCATGGCATGGGAAATGACGCCAGCGCTGCAGCGGGAGCACGATTCGGAACGAGCGGAAGCGCGGAAATGAGGCCAGCGCTGCAGCGGGAGCACGATTCGGAACGAGCGGAAGCACGGAAATGAGGCCAGCGCTGCAGCGGGAGCACGATTCGGAACGAGCGGGGCCCGAAAATGAGGCCGGCGCCTCAGCGAGAGCAGCATTTTGAAAACAAATGCAAGCGAAAACCCAACTCCGGGGAATCCTGTGTAAAAAACAATACGCGGGGGGGGCGAACACTCCCAACCCGTCATCAGGGGAAGGAGGAGAGTAGTATTCATATTGAGTAATTGTGTAGGCAGGGCGGGAGGGAGGGAGGGGGAAGGAGGTGAAACTGGAGGCGGAGGAGAGTAGGGCGACGACGACGCCGACGACGGGGCCGACGAGGGAGAAGAGAGGAGGCGCAGGAAGGAGGGGCAGACCTCCCTTTGTTGCGCTGCAGCTGCGCCTGCTTCGACCACGGTGGCCAACGGCTCCTGCAGGGAGGACCCTCGGCGCGGCGGCGGCAGGGGGGATCGGAGCAACGAGGAGCCGTGCGTCCTCGCGCCTCACGTGCGCCTGCACCGGGGTCCGCAGGGCGCCCTCGGCCTGGCGGGGGATCGGCCAGCACCGAACCGCGAGGTGGGACCGATGCCGCACGCGGGTGTCGCAGCGGGCCGCAGCGGTGCAGAGCCGAACTCGAAGCGGCACTGCCGCGCCGCAATGAGCAGCAGCGCCGCACGAACGACGGGCCGCATCGGGACGTCGGGCTATCGGCTATCGGAATCCAGTCGGGCAGAGCTGGCCGAAAATCCATGTGTCGGATCGTACGGATCGGACTGGCCTGGTCGATGAAGGCGGCCGGGGAGAGGCACTCCGCAGACGGGTCCAGCTCCAGTCTGATCCTGGCCACGCTGCGCTGGGAGTGCGGCGTGGCGCAGATGCTCTCCGGCCTCAGCAGCCACGCCGCCACCTCCAGAGGAACAGAGGGATACAGATGCCTCAGAGAATGAAAAGGTACCGATTCCACTCCCCTTGCCTCGTTTTCGCCTTTCCGGATCTCCTGAGAGGCCCTCGTCGTCACCGCTGGATTCGCCTTGAAATTCTGGACAGACAACACCCCGCGAGGGGTCCGACGAGTAGCGGCATCAGTATCTTCTTACATTCTCGATGCCGACTACCCAGACGCGCGCCCTGGCCAGGAGGCCAAACCGAATGCTAGCCGTGGCAGGAGCGGTCAGCATCGAGTCGGGAAAATTGGATCGGTTCGGAACACGTATCAGAGCGGAGTCGAAATCGGATCGGATTGGCTGTGCCAAGATGCACAGCAGCACACTGCAAACATCATGCCGCATCGGATCGCCCAATATGGCAATCGCATCGGATCTTGGCGTCCGGAATCGATATTGAATCGGATCGATCGGGTCGAAACTGGCCCTGGCCCTGACCTCTTGAGCAGCAGGAATATACCGCTGCCACCACCACCCAGACGTCTCCTCGGGCGCGCTCTGGTTGGGACGCCAACACGAATGCCAGCCGTGGCGACGAGGGCCCCCCCCGGGGGGCATGCTATCGAGATCCGTGCGCTTCTCCTCTAAGCCCCTGGGACGCCAAAGATCGGTGCATACTCCCTCCTGGCCTGGCCAAGACCACGTATCTGCACAGACACAAACTTCCGCAGGTCTGCGCGGATCTCTTTGATTGGCCTCGGACACCCCTTCCCTGACTCGCGAAGAGCGCGCGCGCCGGGGCAGCGCAGAAGGCGCCGAGAGGGAGGCTCCAGGCGAGGCGCCGGTCATGAAGACCGAAGATCCGAAAGCTCGTGCTCATGAAGACGCTTCCCCTCGGACGCCAGCGCGTTCCTGGCGGCGCCGCCCGCAGCGCGCTCCGCGCGCCAGGGAGAGCGGCCCAGGCGCCCACCAAAGAAATCCGCGCGGACCTCCGGAAGGCTGGGCGCATGCCGCGTTGGTTCCTCTTCGAGGGTGCGCCCGACCAAGCAGGCGCAGGTGTGCACAGCCACCGCGCTGCCAGAGAGAGAGCGCCGAATTAAAGATCGGCGGAGCTCGTGCGGCCACGGCGAGCCTCGGCCTCGGCCTGGAGCAGATCCCCCGACCGAGACCCAAGCAGAGGCCTGAGTATCAGAGCCCCGCCAGAGCCGAACGTGGTCCTTCTTTCGACGTCTTGACCGTACGCGTACGCCGTTTGCAAGGGAGGATGAGGAGGAATCGGAGCCAAACCGCGAAGCGCGAACCGCGAATGTCTTCGCGCCCTCGAGGGCGCGCTCGTGTACGACGTTTCTTCGTCAAACAGAAAGGGCCCGACCCGGACTGGTGCCGGTGCACGGCAAGGCGCCGTCCGAGCCTCGTCCGTGGACACGCCGCCGCGGCCCGCGAAATCTGCCAGGAAGCGCTCCTGGATCAGCTGCCTCGCGAGCGCCGCCGAGCAGGGGGGGAAATGAGAAGGAGAAGGCCTTCGCAAAGGCGGCGGGACTTCTCAGAGGCCCTCGCGCCTTCTGAGGAGTGATCTGTGTCCTCGGGGGAGGCTCAGAGAACTTCTCAGAAGGTCGGGGGCCGGCCGAGACTCGCGAGAAGGCCCGCCCCTTCCCCCCCTGGGGCTCGCCGCCGAGCCTCGCGAGCGCCGCGGAGCAGGGGCAGGTGCTGGAGTACGTCACCGACACCGTCAGCCAGACCCGCAGGCCTGAGACGGGGGAGCACGCTCTTCAGCACTCGCGTCACCATCGTCCGTGGCCAGCCCCGCCCCCCCCCCTCCTCCCTGCCCCCCTGGTCACGTCAGGATTCGCGCCGGCGCCGCACGGGAAGTAGCCATTCCGGAAGCATTCCCCAAACGGCGCTGGCGAGAATCGTAACGTGACCGGCCCCCTCCACCCCCCCTCCCCCCTCCCCGCCCCCTGGAAACGCCCGTCATCGCCAGGGGAAAAAAGCCTCTCCAGATCTGGGGCGAGAAAAATGTCATGGTACGATTGGCTCAAGATACAGTTCGTGACTTCTGGAGTATCTAGCGGCCCTCGGTTCTGCAACCCACGTGAAATTCCTGGAAATCTTGGAAAGTATCGCTATCATGACCATCTGGCCTTCTGAAAATCTGGGATATCTGAAATCCGGCGTGACGGCGCTGACAACGTGTACCGAGCGTGCCCCAGCCTCTGAAATCCAGCGCTTCTGGAGGAAGCATCGGGCGCCGCGGCCTTCCCAAAGCGCTCTAGGACGCTCTCAAAGCGTTCCTGGGCACCCTGGAGCGGTTCGTCCCGGTCCCAGCCCCGCTCGAACTGGAGGGTGAAAGTGGGAGCCGGGCGCAGGGTCCCGGCAATGATGTCTTTATGGACCATGAATGGGCGATACATCCTCGATTGCTGTATTCGGCGGGGGAACCAATTGGAGCTCCCCGCCTGCACCCATGCGCGAGACTTGAGGGGAAAGGAAGCAAGGGGGCGGGGGGCTCGGGAAAGGCGACGAAGGCAATGTGCGCTGAGGGCGCAAAAAGAAAAGGCTGGAACAAACGAAACCGGTCAGGTGAGTGTCGAAATCTCCCCCGCCAATCTGACATGCGGAACGCTGCGCCTCAGTTTTGGGGACCTTGAAGGCCAGGGCAAAATGTGAATTCACATTGTGGGGAAAAGCAAAATGTGAATTCAAATTTTTGGGCAAAAGAGAAATGTGAATTTACATTTTGGGAAACAGGAAAACGTGAATTAACATTTTGGAATTTTGTGTAGGAGTCTTTCAGAAGGGGCCAGAATGTGAATTCACATTTCGGGAAGAAGGAAAATGTGAATTCACATTTTGGGAAAAAGGAAAATGTGAATTCACATTTTGGGAGAAACGCGGGACCCATTCCAAATCTGTCTTGGGGGTCGATAAGTCATCGTTTCGGAACATACGCGACCATCAATCGCACAATCAAGACACACTTGCACTCCACTTCGCCGCCCCACGCGCCATATGCAAGAACGCCTGCACGCATGAACGATAATGGCTGGACGGCGCGCGTGCCCGCGCGGGCAACGCGCGGGCACGAACGACTGGCCCTCAATGACCGCCAACATTGGATGCCAATCGTACCCGATCACATACATGAGCGATACATTGAGCATACATGGGCCATTCAGCCCCCATTGAAGACCCCCTTTTGCAGACCCCCTCTTTCACCCTCCAATCGAAGGCCTCCGCGGGAGCAGCCAGAATCGCATCGACACACGAGATCGGGTCGGAACACGCGTCGCATCGGGCCGTACTTCGGAGCGGCAGAGTCCAAGCCAAATCGCTTCGGCTGCGCCCAGAAGCACCATGCAAACATCGGGACGCATCGGATCGTCGAAACCCAAACATGCGACGTCTTGATTGTTTCAATGCGCAGTCCCTGGAAGGCCCGACCCTTTCCCCAGGGCAAGCATCTCGTCCTGAATCGTTGTCACATGGCCCCGCAGTCCTGCGAGGGCCCCCAGAGGCCGAGACCGCAGAAGATCTCCCGTCCTGTGTCTGTTCAAGACGTTGCATGCCAGGGAACATCGGAATCAGATCGGATCAGGCTGGCCGAAATCGGTATCGGATCAGATCGATCGGTTCGACATCGGCCCCGCCTCCGTCATCCAAGACGGCGTCCACCTCCACGGGGTAGGCGCGCCAGCCGAAGTTGCCGCTCCGGAGGCTGGGGCGCTCGATGGGCAGTTCGAAGGCCAGGCGGACCTGCGCCAGACGCGAGATGCCCACATGGGACTCGACGAAGCCCCGCAGCAGCTTCTGGAGGAGCGCCATGCTCAGCTCGGTAGCCTGCTCACGAGCGGCGAACGTATCCATATCAGCGACCTCGCGGCTTGGACTCCGGGGCACGATCCCGTGGATATACGGTCGCATGGGGACCTTCCGCGCGGGGCATCCGGGAAAAAGCGCCCCGCATCCGCGGGGTCGCGTCCCAGGGGCCCCGCCCGCGAGACCGCGGCTACGGATGTGTCCTCCGCGCCACGACCTGCAGCTCCGCCATCAGCTGCCTGTACAGCCGCGACATGTGGATGCCCTTGGCGTCGGGGTCGACTAGGTCCACGTAGGCGTCGGCGCGCCCAAAGATCGCGGCACCACCGCTCTGCCCGGGCGCGCGGATAGGAACCTCTATGCCCGACATGCCGACCCGGTCGAGCACGCCGCCGATGCTGGCGCTCTCCGAGCCCACGTCTGGCATCACCCTCTGCGCCGGCGCGGCCGGGCCACCAAGCAGCGTTACGGAGCTCTTGCCGCCAGGAACCACGCTCATCTGGCTCTGACAAGGGCCCTGAGACAGGATGTCAAGAATGCCTGAACGATAACGGCTGACAAAGGCGCGCATGAGATGTCGGACTGGTCACTTCAAGGAATGGAAGGACGGACGGATCGGCATCAGGGCCGAGTCGAGATTCAAGTTGACATCGGACTGATCGCACCGCCCATGAAGCCACACCAGCCTCGCATCGAAAACATGGTGGCCACCCTCGTGATAGGTCGAGCTGGGGACGCCCTGGGGCCCATCTGAACCGTTCTGGAGCCCCGAAGTCCAGAATGCTGACATGTCTGGGGGGCTGCATTCTAATAATCCCGCCGACCGTCTGTCGGCTTCCGACGGCACGACGGCCTTTGTCTCTTATTCGTGGCAGCTTCCGCGGGTTTTCAGCCAGCTACCGCCAAGAACGCGGTGACAGTCCTCTCGCCTCTCGAACCCTCGAAAGCGAGGTTTCTCTGGGGCCTTCGATCTCGGATCGGCATACCGAGCGAGACAACACATGCGCCTTCCAGGGAAAAACCCACGGGAAGTGGATGCAGCAGAAGGAAGAGGAGAATGATAATAATAAGAACCAGCAGGAGGAGCAAGCAGGGAAAAAAAAGGGCAGGCGAGCAGGATGGGGGGGGCGAGCGAGGATGAGGAGGAGGCGGAAGAGGAATGCGAAGAGAAGGAAGGGTGGGGAAGGAGGGGGGAAGCGTGAGACGACGAAACATGATGCAGAGCTTTCTCTTAAAACTTAAAACTAAGCACAACAACAGCAACAACAACAGCAACAACAACACCAACAACAACAATAATTTTAAGACGGCTCGCTCTCATCTGCTCGAATGCCATTTGGCGCGTATTTCCCAAACCATCGATCTACCCGCCCTCTTCGTTTTCGGTAGTACACCCTTTGGGGGGTACACGTTTTTTCCCAACAAGCCAGGCCCCGACAAGCAGCGGGGCGGCCCAGGACCATTGGCCTGGCCAGCGGCAACGCTGACCAGCGGCAGCCCGACGCCCGACGACAAGAGGGACGGACAAGGGACCGACCACGACGACGACGCCGACAACGGAGACGACGACGACGACGATGACGACGACGACGACGACGACGACAACGGCGGCGACGACGACGACCAGGGGGAGGAAGAGGAGAACGAGGAGGACGAGGAGGTTGCGGACGAGGAAGAGGACGAGGAAGAGGAAGAGGAGGAGGACGGGGCGGAGGAGGAGGAGGAGGAGGGAGGGACGGAGGAAGGGAGGCGGGAGGAAGGAAGCGAGGGGGAGAAGGGAGGAGACCGCTGAAGGGCCGACAGGCTGGCACCCGGCATGCAGCGAGGCAGTCACACGGAAGATCGGCCTCGCTGGCTGCCGGGCCGGCGTGCTGGGCCCCCTGCGGCATGCGGGCCCAAGCGGGGGCGGCCGGGGACGCCGACGACGACGACAAGGGGGGGGAGGGAGGGAGAGGGGGAGGAGGGAGCGGGGAGGGAGGGAGGGAGAGGAAGGAGGCGAAAGGAAAGAGCGAGAGAAGGAGAGCGCGAGAGAAAGAGAAAGAGAAGAGAGAGAGAGAGAGAGAACAACAAAAAAAAGAGGACGAAGAGGATGCGGACCCCCGAGGCCCCGCCGAACCGGGCCTGTTTTTGACACGCTGGGCCCCCGACGCCCGCGGACTGCGTCGGAGCTCGGAGGCGGAGGGAAATGGGGCCACCAAGGGCAGCAATGGGGCCGCGAAGGGCAGCGAGGGAGGGCCACGAAGAACGACAGCGGGGCCACGAAGGGCATGCATATGGGGACACGACGGGCGCGTGCGAGCGGGGGGCACGAAGAGCATATAATGCAGGGCCACGGATGGCAGCGACTAGGCCACTGAGGGCAGCAACGGGGCCACGAAGGGCGCGAGCGAAGGCGACCGCGGAACCACCACAGGCAGCTATAGGCATCGAGAGCGGGCGAAAGGCAGCGAGAGGCGACTGCAGTCCCTAACGGGCGGGTCGGGCGGGCGGGCCCCGACGGGCAGGTCGAGCGGGCGGGTCGCTGAAGCGCGAATCTTGTTCGAATCGCAAGGAAACCTCTAGCGAAAGCGCAACTCGCAAACGAATCTAAAAGAAATCCAAAACGAAAGCGTGCTTCCTGAATATCGAGAGGCGGCGCCGGAATGAATTATGAAGGAGTTTCAAGCGAAACCGCGTTTCCTGAATAGGTCGCAAGGACATCCTATTCCCGAGTAGATCGCAAGGAAATCTCACGCGAAAGTTTAATTTCTGAATGAATTGTGCGAAAGTATCAGGCGGAAGCCGGTGTTGTCGTCCCCCTCCCCCCTGATATCCGACGTCGCGGGCCCCAGAAATTCTGCCCCCCGCGTCGCCAGTTGACAGAACTGGCCCTCGGAGGCTGAAGCCGGCTAACAAAACGGCACAATTTGTTCGCGACGAGAAGAGGTCTGAGTGTGTCGTCGTCCTCCCACCGTAAGTATGCTTCAGACATTGAAATTCAACAGCAACAAACACAACAACAATAATCATTCTAAGACTGCTCGCCCATATCTGCTCGAGTGTCCAATAGCGCGAATTTCCCAAACCCTCCATACCCGCCCTCTTCGTCTTCGATCGAATCCCTTTTGGGGGGTCTACCTTTCTTCCCTGCAGGCCGGGCCCTAGGCCGCGGACCGTCGACCCGACCCAAAGAGGGACGGATCGGGGACCGACCACGACGACGACGACGACGTCGACGACGACGGCGACGACAACGACGACGACGACGAGCGAAAGCGAGAGCGAGAGAGAACGACAGCAGGGCCACGAAGGACACGAAGTAGGCCACGAAGGGCGACAGCGGGGACCTGAAGGGAATGCGTATGGGGCCACGGAGAGCGCGAACAAGCGGGGGGCACGAAAGGCAGACAATGCGGGGCCACAGAAGGAAACGATGGGGCCACTGAGGGTAGCAACTGGGCCACGTAGGACAGTGAGGGGGCCACAAACGGCGTCAGCGGGGCCACGAAGGGCATGCACATGGGGCCACAAAGGGCGCGACTCCTGGGTGCCTGGCTGTTGGGAGAGCGGCGCTTGAGCAAATTGCAAGAAATGCCAACACAAGGGCGCTATTCTTCAGTAAATTGCGAACAAATCTCCAGCGAGAGCGCGACTCCAGAGCGCTGGGAGAGCGATTCCTGAATAAGTTGTAAGGAAGTCCCAAGCGAGAGCGTGATTCCTGAAAAAAATACGAGGAAGTCTCGGGTGGGAGCGGGGGTCCTGGCTAAATTTTGAGGAAGTCTCAAGCGGGAGCCGTTGTTGTTGCAATCTGGGTGCCAGGGGCACAGTTTGAGCATCAAGACTTTCCCTGTCAAAAAACAGGGTGCGAGCGTCGAGGGGCGCACTTTGATCGAGGAAAACATATGCACCGGTGGGGGGGTGGATCAACAATAATTGTTCTTCAGATCAGAAGTGAGAGTTCAACAACCACAACAACAATAATAATAACAACAACAACAACAACAACAACAACAACAACAACAACAGCAACAGCAACAGCAACAGCAACAGCAACAACAGCAAGGGCAACAACAACAACAACAACACCATTACCAACCACAACAACCACATCAACAACAGCTCCAACAACAATTATGTTAGCTAATATCTGCTCGCGTGCCTGTCAACAAGTATTTCCTAAACACTCGATGCCCACCAGACTCGTCTGCGATCGTACCCCCATTAGGGGTAAATCTTTCTTGCCTGCAGCGTGCATGCTGAGGCAGGGGAGAAGAAGGCGGACGGAAGCAAGGAACAAGGGGGGAGGGAGGAGGATGGAGCACAATAGAGAGAGAGAGAGAGAGAGAGAGGCAGGAGGGGGCGGTCAGGAGCAGAAAACACGTGGCAAAACCAGACAGACAAATCGGGGCAGCAGACCCGAGCGGGTGAGTCGAGCAGGCGGGCCCATGCGGCCAGGTCGAGAAGGCGGGTTGCTGAAGCGTGCGCCCTGCATGAATCGCGAGGAAGTCTGAAGCGATAGCGCGAATCCCACATAAATCGTGAGGATGTTCACAACGAGAGCGTGACTACTGAGTGTCGAGGGCGCGGCGTCTGAATCAATTGCGAGGAGGTCCCACGCGAGAGCGCGATTTCTGTATAAATTGTAAGGAAATCCAAAGCGAGAGCGCGACTGGGGAATACATTGTGAGGGAATACGAAGCGGTAGCCGCTGTTTTTTGAAACCGGGGGCCAACAACACAGGTTGGTGACACCTCGCTTCCCCTTACGGGTGTGAGCCCCAGGATAAGCACTTCGACTGAAACATGCAGTGGTCACTGGAGGGGAGAATCAACAATAATTATTCTTCAGACGTGAAAAAATCGACAATCATGTTAAGGCCGTTCGCTCCTATCTGCTCGCGTGCCTGTCAACAAGTATATCCTAAACCCTCGATGCCCGCCCTCATCGTCTTCGACCGTACCCCCGTTGGGGTATATCTTTCTTACCTGCAACGTGCATTTTGCGCAGACCCTGAGGCAGAGAAAAAGAAGGCGGATGGAAGGAAGCGACAAGCGGGGGAGGAGGATGGAGCACGAGAGAGAGAGAGAGAGTAGCAGGAGGGGGGGGCAGGAGTAGAGAACACGTGGGCAGAACCAGACGGGCAGGTCGGGCGGGTAGACCCAAACGGGCGGGTTAGGAAGGCGGGCCCAGGCGGCCAGGTCGAGCAGGCGGGCTGCTGAAGCGTGCGTCCTGCATGAATCACGAGGAAGTCTCAAGCGATAGCGCGAATCCCAAGCGGGGGCCGTTGTTGTTGTTGTAAGCAGGGGACCAACAACAAGTTTGGTGACTCCTCACTTTCCCTTGTGGAAAAAGGGCGCGAGCCCCCTGGATTGGCACTTCACTGAAACAATACATGGGTTACTGGAGGGGGATCAATCATAAATGTTCTTTGGGCATGATTATTCAGCAGCAACAACAACGACGACGACAATACCACAACAACAAAAGTAGCAGCGGCAACAACAACGGAGGAGGAGGACGACGACGACGAGGACCCTGACCTCCGACGTCGTGATCTGTTCAATCCCCCCGCTCTTCCTCGACCTCGGCCCC